AGACTTGTGTGGAGGAAGTAATTACAGATTGTGGTAGAATAGAAAGAGAACTGAAATTAGAAGTGGAGCCTGAAGATGTGACTGAATTGCTGCAATCTCATGATCAAACTTGAACAGATGAGGAGTTGCTTCTTAGGGTCAAGCAAAGAACGTGGTTTATTGAGATGTCATCTACTCCTGGTGAAGATGCTGTCAACATTGTTGACATGACAAGTATTACGACTGTTACATAAACTTAGTTGATAAAGTGGTGGCAGGATTTGAGAGGATGGGCTCCAATTTTGAAAGAAGTTCGACTGTAGGTAAAATGCTGTCAAACAGCGTCACATGCTACAGAGACATCTTTCATGAAACGAAGAGTCATTTGATGTGGCAGACTTCACTGTTGTCTCATTTTAAGAAATTGCCACAGCCATCTCAACCTTCGGCACCCCACCCTGATCAGTCAGTACCCATCATCATCGAGGCAAGACCCTCCACTAGCCAAAGGGTTACTATTCACTGAAGGCTCAGATGATTGTTAGCAGTTTTTAGCAATAAAGCATTTTTTAATTAAGGTAAATATGTTGTTTTTTAAGACACAATGCTGTTGTACACTTAATAGACTATAGTATAGTATAAGCATAATTTTTATATATACTGGGAAATCAGAAAGTTCATATGACTTGCTTTATTGCTATATACCTGTATATACTAATAGTTACACAAATAGTACTCAAGGGCTGGAATTCAACAGCTAATTATATTATGCAAAGTGGTATTACAAAGGAATTCTTTGTAGATTTATTTTAATTTGTTGCCCATGGCACTGGAATCATCATTAACCATCGCAGAGAAAAATATTTAAGAGTGAGATCTTTTTGGTTAACAGCAGATTTAAGTATCTCTCACATATTTAATCATAGCTTATATATTTAAAGCCATTAATATGTGAAAGATAATTATTCTCAATTTTGGAACAGTTTGGATCTATGATAATTTTGTACAAACTATGTAATTCAAGAAAGACT